GATTCGTTGTAAAATTCATTGATCTCGACGAAATAAAGTTATAAAAAATCTAATAAATATTTTTGGTTCATCTTGATCGCTTGTTTAAAGTTACAGTAAATGTGAATTGTGCGGTTTTCATGTAATTGTTATGATGAATGACTGTCACGGTCTATAATAATTTATATCTTTGAAAAAAGTTTACTTGAAATTTTTAAAATTGTCGAATATTTTGAAATACTTCATATTCACTTTTCACTTATACTTCAACCTCATGAGTGGTTAAACCTGTTAATGTTAGACTTCTAAACCTTATGGTTGAATGAAGAGATTTTTAAACATAATATATATTTATTTTTTTCTTTTATGAATGTCAAGGTATTTTTTAATCAATAATTATAATCTATGTTTCTTGGTATAGTGTTTAATTAAATGCATAGTTACTGTAGTTTCGTCTATATTTTGTTTTGCGTAATTATAGAAGCCCTGACAGTGCTATGCAATATTTTTTTATTTATTTTATTCATGATATTTACAACTGTATTGGAAAATAAAAATACACCATAGTAAATGTGAACAAGTGAGTATGGTGACATGAAAACACTTATTGAGAAACTACCCATTGATAACCCTCTATTTTATAAATGGTTCAGTATTTATTTTATATAATTCCATCAACTACATTAATATGTTTTCTCTAAAAGCGTAAAATTGTATATACTATAATCGATGTGTAGAGTGGTGTTAGAAGACATCACAGTAGCTAGAATTTTTTCACAATTTATTTTGGTGCGGCAAACAGTTGGTACTTTTATTTTGAAAATGACCAAAATACATTAGACAAAAATTTTAACACTTGAAACTAATTTAAGTGGAACTTTATTGCCATTGTGACATATTTACGGTCATTTTGACCTTGTACGTAGAAAATGTCGGCAAGAATTGAAGTTGAACAACTTTAGAAATATTATTTGATTTTCAAAGATCAATTGTATTTTTTTTTTACTTTCCTACCTGTACTAGATGAAAGTATTGCGATAATTTATTTGTTTATTCCATATCCAAATAATGTAATAACTATATTAGAATGAATTATGATAAGTGACAAATGATGCGTTCAACGCCTTTTTCTGAAAACGTTTTACATTTTAAGGTCTAATCTTAATTGTAAAGTGTTTTAAGTTTTTTTTCATACAATAATTATTAGAAGTTAATAAAAAGGCAATAGAGCTTACCATTTTTTGTATTTATAACTGTCTTATTATTATTATTTTTTTAACTCCATTTCTTCACATTCCATGTCATAACTCTTCAGAATATTCTCCAAATTCGATGTTACTATATCAGTTGAAAAGCTATATTATTGCTCTTCAAAGCCGTATGATAGGTTTTTTGATGCTATATTGGCTGATGACAAGGAATAAATAAACAAACTTATAGGTTTTTATTTTTTATATCCATTTGTAGTTTGTTTACGTCGGTCTGAAGTTATAACATTTTATGTGACATTCGAAAAAAAAAAAATCAGCCAAACATTAATGAGGTGCATATCTTGTCTTGGTGGAATAAAACATCCTATTTATTTTTAATTGATTGATCCAATTTTGTTAATTGTGAGCAGTATAGAGTTCAATCAATTGTTTGTCTTGAAAGCGATAGTTAATAGAAAATACCACCCTTGAAATTCCACCACATGGAAAGCATTATCTTCTATAGATGCAAACCGGGTTTTTACATTCTTCTAGGGGCCTCACTACTAGATCCTCAAGATTTTCTACGGACTACATTATCGTAAAATATCCATTTTTCATCTCCTATCACTAACCTTTTCAAAAATGGGTCGTTTTCTTGCCGTTTCGGTAGAGAATCAAACAGAAATAACTGTGTTGCCAAGTTAATTTCGGTTAGAGAGAAAACATTAAGCTTGGAAACACAGCTGAGCTTGTGGAAATGGCTTTCTACCCTTCTGTGCGACACATTCAGAGCCATAGCAATCTCTCGCACTGACTGGGTGGGATTTTTAGGATTACAATGGCCTTAACATAGCTCGTTTCAATTTTATGTGGGCAACGAGACCGTTGAGCCTCATTGATGTCAACATTTCTTGAATAAAATTTGGCAAACCAATGTTGACAGGAGCGTTCGGTTGAAGCATCATTCCCATAAACACTGCATAATTTTCAATGAGCTTCTGCAGCACGCTTACCTTTTTTAAAATAATACAAAAAAATAAGCCGATAATGAATGATATTTTCTTCCATATTCGCAATAGGGAACACAATACTAAGTTATTTTCAACAAGAGTTAACAGATATAGTTATTGACATATTACAAATAAGATAAACAATCCACCTTAGGGATTAATTCAACAGATAAGAAGTTTCCAGTAGTGACATAAAAATAAACAGAGAAAACGAAAGAACTTATTTTCCAACCCAATATAATCCTCTGAACAACTAATGATTTGATGGTTCATCAATTATCAGTTCATAATTTGACCTATAATCATAATTGATTTATTACTACATGCTCTAAAATAAAGTAATTATATGACAAGAATGCGTTAAATTAGTCTTTAAACATAATTTTTGATTGTACTATACAGTAAAAGTTCTGTGCTTGTGGTGAAGAAACTTCGCTAAATACTTCTTTGAATATTGGTCATTCTGTTAAACGATTCGATGACTGCTCGAGGTAAGATGAATAAAGTTCAAGATGTAATGTATTTTCGAGCTGAAGCCACCTCCCAAAATGGTAAAATATAACTATGCTTCATAAAACAAGATATTAAAAACTATCTTAAAAAAGTATTATTGTTTGTGTAATTACATTTAATAGGACTTCAAGAATCACTTAACAACAAGTCATATAGGAAGGTAGTTTATTTCTTTCTTTCTTTTTAAAATTAATTATCATTATATATATATATATATATATATATATATATATATATATATATATATATATATATGAAAAAAAAAGATTTCGGGCTGAAAACAACACCCCCCCCCCAAAAAAAAAAAATTAAATCCTAGATCCGCCAGTGTCAACAAGTAATCTTATTGTGGATTGAATGATGTTTAATTTTAAAAAATGTTTGTTTTTTTAAGTACTTTTCAGGAAAGAAAAGGGAAGGATTCAATTTATGTAACACAGAGAATATTTAAAATTAAATAAGTTGATCAGGCGTCAATTTTATTATAAATTGTTCAGAAATAATATTAAGTGAATAAAATGATATTATGTCTTAAAAGTATATCAACTCTCTTCCAAACTCATAACTTCTGTCCTTAAGTAACAAATTCCGAGTATATATAATTATATATATATATATATATAATTAAATAATATATAATTCAATATATATATATATATATATATATATATATATATATTACTTAATTGTTGTTTCTTATGTATTTCTATACTTCCCTCACCTGGATTGGCTACCCATTCCACTGTGCGTCGACGTATAAGCGCCAATCGTAAGACATTTATGGTTCTGATCTATTATTTCCGCCGTTTAGATAAAAAAACAATAGTTAGTTATTACGTTCAAAATAATTATGTATTTTAGAGAATCAATTAATTTAGAAAGTATAAGTATTTAATGGAGCTTTATTTAAGATGTTTATGTTGCTATATTCAATTTTTTGTTTTATTGACATGAAGTAAAATATATGAAATTGTAATTTTTTTTTATTTTCCCAATAATTTAAGTCATCCTTGGATGTTCCCTTCTAGTTTTTATGTAATAAAAATTAATTCATCATAACTGAAGAATGTTGGATAAAAAAAATTTATTCGGTTATACCAATTGATGATCAAACATTTTCTTTTTCTGTCATAATACTACCACCAAGTGGTCAAGTGAAGGTTACAAACAGTACCTATCCCTTCCAAATCTCAGCGAAGGTCGCCACTTCGCTACTAGTTATGGGAAGAACATTAACTTATTATCGGTATGTACCTCAATATAGCAAACCTAATATATTCGTATGTATCTTAGTATATTATTTCTTAAATGGGCAATGTCTTTTTATTTAAATTGACTTACTCTTGTAACATCAGACTTAATTCAGAAAAAAAAAACTAAGGTGTGTGCTTTATACCACACTATATAAGTGAAAATATCAACAAGGCGAGATTAATAATATGAAATGTAAATGATAAATAATTGTTCATTGCAAAGAAGATGAAATGTTGAACACAAAAGTTTCTCTCGCTTACAGTATAAATGTCCGATTTTGAGTATTTGAATTATTTTAATCTATATGTTCAACTAGCCTCGTTATCATTTGGTTTTTGACGGCGTCGCAGTAAGATACAATTTTAAGTTATAGCCAATTACAGAGAGGATGAAATGCTGAACAATCGCCTCGCTTACAGTATGCAGGCCCGATCTTTAGTTTCTGAGATATTTTAATCCGTATGTAAAAACATTTCAATTAGTGTAAAACGCGTCTAAAAAAGTTTTCTCTTCAAAAATTATTGAAAATATAAATATAAAACAAACAAAAAATCACAATCTTGAATTCGAAATGAGCTACAGGAAAAAATATGGTAGCAAACTTTCGTTTTCAGCACCTTCAAACGTTAAAAATAAATATCATCAATATTTCCTAGTTAGAAATCCTTACTGCCTAGATTACTTTTATCCAATTTATTATCATTAATCATATCATACCATTGTATAAAATAACAAACCATTATCATATGTGCGACCGTAAAAACTACTTGTATTTACCAGAGATTTCAAAAATATCGTAAACGTTTTAAGCTACTAAAAACTTCGCCCTGACCAGTAAATTAAAGTTGAGTAACAGTCATTCGAAAAACTAGAGGCTACACTGCATTGTAATTAGTTAGGGAACAAGAACATTTTTCATTAGTTTGAAATGATTATTATATTCTTGCAAATAAATATAAATGATATATACTATAATTTAAGTATTCTTGTGAGAATTTTAATATAATAAACCATATCTCAACAAGACTAATAAAAATTCATTATTCCCCAGGTAACAGCACAAAAATGACAGCTGAAAGTCAAATGGATGTTGCCGATGAGGCTCCTGAAAAGGTAAAAATTAAATTATTATAAAATCTTACATGCTTTCCTTATCTAAAACACCTACAGTCACTTAATTGTAGCTTTAATATTTTCGATAGTTCGTGTAATTCACAAATTTTGTAAGTGGCAATTTATAAAATTTTCAAATCTAGGTTTGCACAAACGATTTAATTTAACAACATTGACACACACACACACACACAGATATATACATATACATAAGTTTGGTTCCTGGATGCTCTGTTTCGGGGTTCCTCTGTTCTAACAACTGCCATAATTGTTGGATCTCAAACCAAATTTTATTGACATTCTCTAAACCGAATTGAGTAGGTTGAAATATTGGCTACAAATAAATTGGTTATGGAGGCATTGAGTGATCGTTTGTTGAGTGAGAATTATCAAAGATAAAATAAAGCTAGGACAACATTCAGATATGTTAAACAATAGATAATCAAAAAGTTTTCTTAATTTTTGTAGATTTCGTATAAAATTTATAGATGATTACAGAGTGGTAAAATGTTCTTTAGCTAGGAAATCATTTATATCATTTATTAGGAAAAGTGTTTTTAGATAACAATGGTTTATTCTACAACTGAACATTAACTGACAAAACAAATTAAAAAAATTACAACGTATGGATACGATCGTAACTGTTTATAAGAACTGTTAGGAACCTAACTCCTCACTCCTCATTCATGGATAGGTTTCTTTTCCAAACTGCGAAGCTGATACACGCGCCGCCTGTGTTTGTTGCCTTCGTCTTCACGACTCCGGTCTCCCACTTCGAATTTCGGTCTTCATAAAATCGTACCGATACCCTCTCCCCTACATCCATCTGCTTTCCCCCTCCAATTGCTCAAATCTCATTCTGTTGATCCTTAAATTTCTGGTTCTCACTCGCATAGTTTTTGTTATGTTATATTGGCTTAAAAAACCAACACAATAACTAATGTCTGCCCTAGTGGTGACTGATAAGTACATGAGTGCACCAATTAATTTTTGATGTAGGTACTTCGTTTCACATTAAGTAGATTTGTTTAATATAGATCCTGCAATCATAGGGGTGTTAATAGGATTACAGTTTTCCATACCATGCTAAATCTATTTAAAATTGACTCAATATATTTTATTTGGGATGCGAAGATGGAACCTTTTCGTTTAAAAAACTCTAAACCCAAACAATGATTCGATTCTCCAAGGTTCATCTCAGAAGAATTCATTATTGAATTTATTAATTTGTTCAATTCATTTAAGTCATTACACGCAATAATTAAATCATCGACATAAATTGCAATGAGGAATTTATGTCCCTCTAAAACATTTGTATATGCAGAGATCTGCGATAGATGGTTCGAAGTGTAATTCCTTTAGTTTGACATTTTAGTGGGAGATCTATTTATGATATCTATTTAGTATTTATTTGACCGCACACCCCGATCAACTCCATCTCTTATTTATGATATGGTTTGCGCAACAAAATGGCTTAGCCGGAAGGAAAAATCGACCATTACATGATAAATTTCGATGTTCGCTATTGGAGTCAATTTTTTTTTTTTTTTTCGATTCTATCTGTTTATTGAGTAATAATACATTTTGCCACACTTAAGGGCATTGAGTACTAAAGCTGAGTGAGGCACATTCATACCATATATACAATACATAAAAAAATAAAAAAAAATAAAAAAATAAATAAATAAAAAATATAGAAATCTATATAACAAAGGCAAAAACTATAATAAACCAAGGAAATTTAACTTAGAGTTAAAATTAAATGAAATACAGAAATTCGTATCAAAATTAAATAAATTATAAGTAATAGAAATAAATAGAAAAACATTCATACTTAAATACAATATTTACAATTAGGTAAGAGATCTCCGAGTCCAGCCCTTTCCGCCACGTGTGAAGGACAAAGCGAGACTCTAAGAGATCCCAGCGCTTCTCTCTCAACCGCATCGCCGGCATTACCAGTCCGGTGGAGACTGAGAGAGGGCACTAAAACCACAAACACTCATGACTTGAGAAGCTGGCCATTTCCAGAACTCCAGTGACGTCTTTACAAGAGATCTCGAGGCCACTGCCGTTTCAACCTTCGAGGAGGATTGTAGGGATGACTGGAGCTAGATAAGGATTGTGCTAAAGGGTTAGGATGGTGGATTAGGTTCATGTGAAAATTTGAGAATCGGGATGGAATAACGTCAAGGATATAAGGGATGTAAAGGTCATGATGTAGGGTTTTGTTTGTAACGTAATAAGGAGCATTGACTATCATACGGAGGACTTTAGACTGAAAGGATTGGATGCGTTTGATGTTCGAAAATTTAGTTGTCCCCCACAGTTCAAGTCCGTAGGTCCAGAAGGGTTTGAGTATGGTCTTGTATATTAATAGTTTGTTTTCTATTGATAGATTGGATTTTCTGTTAAGTAGTCTGTATAGCTGGCCAAATCGTCGGTTAGGTTATTGTCTTTTAAGTCTAGTATGTGGGTTCCAAGTTAGTCTTTTGTCTAAAAGGAATCCAAGATACTGAATAGTGTCTGAGACGGGGAGAGGTACAGAGTTGAAAAGGATATGTGGACAGGATCGGTGTCGGAGGGTAAAGGTGACATGCTTGCATTTGGATTCATTGATCTTAACGCGCCAATCGTTGCACCATTGCTCAATTAGGGAGATGTGTCTTTGTAGATTTAAGGATGCAGTTTCAGGATCTAGGTGGGATGACAGGATGGCGGTATCGTCCGCGAAAGTTTATCGGGATTAGTTGGAATGTCAGCGGTGAAGAGGATGGGCCCAAGACACTGTCTTGTGGAACACCAGCCTCAATTGGATAATAGTTGGAGAATTCAGTGCCGCAGCGGACTTGAAAGGAACGATTTGAGAGGTAGGATTTGAGGACTAGGTACAAGGATTGGGGTAGGTGAGTTTTGAGCTTGAAAAGCAAGCCATCATGCCACCCGGTCGAAAGCTTGCGCTACGTCCAGGAAAGCACCGGTGCAATATTGCTTGTTTTCAAGCACAGAGGATATATGGTCAACAACGCGAAGGACTTGTTGAACAGTGGAATGTCTTGAGCGGAATCCAAACTGATGGGATGGGATATTGTGGGTTTCGAGTATGGGTAGGATGCGTTTGAGAAGGATTTTTTCAAAGATTTTGGAGAGGATTGGGAGCAAGCTTATTGGTCTATAGGATGAGGTATTATTTACAGGTTTACCTTGTTTGGGAAGAGGTTGATTATGGAGTTTCCATGTCAGAGGAAAGTGAGTTGTGCGGAGGATACAGTTATATAGGTATGTAAGGAATATAATTGCTTTTTTGGGAAGTAATCTTAGGATCTGGGAAGTAAGGAGATCGTGTCCAGGGGATTTTCGAGGTTTTAGGTTGCTTATAAGGAATTTGACCTCAGAGGGATTGACAGCTATAGGAGGCAAGGAGAGAGGAATAGGAAAAGAGAGGAATTCTTTAATTTCAGCAGTGAGGGTGGAATGGAGTTCGGGGTGGGGACTGAATGTTTTGGATAGGTGTTTGGCAAATTCTTCAGCTCTAGTCTCATCTGACGAAGCCCAGGTTCCATCATCGCAGATGCGGAGGGGATGGGAAACAGAATGGTATTTAAGGATTTTTCTGGTCAATTTCCAGAGGGAATTGTCATCGGTAGATAGGGAAGAGAAGTAGGAGTTGTATGATTGGGATCTAAAGGAAGCTAGTTCTTTTTTTACCTGTTTGGAATAATAATTGTATATTTTTCGATCATCAGGATGCCTGGTTCTTTGCCAGAGGGTCCTAGATTGGCGTTTGGATTTAATCAGGTCAGTAAGGTCTTGGGGCAAAGGATTCTTTTTACGGTAGTTTTGGAGGGAAGTGGTAAGGATGCAGCCCAAACTGCTTGTTAGATCAAGGTGGTGTAGGAACTCACTGCATTATCTAGGTCTTGAGGGGTTTTTAGGGATACTCTGAGGTCTATTGCATCTGCTATTGTTTGGCGGAAAAGGTTCCAGTTGACTGGGCCTCTGATGAATGAGGGAGGAGATAGTTTGGGGATAGGAGATGCTGAAAGAGTTAGGTTTAGCGGACTGTGGTCTGAGGAAAGGTCATCAAGCCGTAAAACTGAATAATTTAACGGCCCTAGACCTTTGTGAATGAAGAAGTCAAGGAGGTCAGGGTTGCGGTTAGGATCGGTTGGCCAGTATGTAGGAGTATCAGGGGAAAGGATGTTGCTATTGTGGGAAATAAGTGCAGACAGCAATGTTCGCCCGCGGGTGTTCGTGGTTCTGGCTCCCCATTGCAGATATTTGGAATTAAGGTCTGCACCTATAAGGAAATGATGTCCTAAGGAATTAAGAAAGGATATGAAGTTGGGTTCGGTTATTGCTGTTTTAGGTGGGGAGTATGCTGCAACAACTGTGACAGGAAAAAGTGAAGTTTGGATTGTTATTGCTGAGGTTTGTAGGAAATTATGTACTGGTAAAGGATAAAAGTGTTGGGAGAGGGATTGATGGATGATGGCAGCAGTACCTCCATGTGCTGTTCCATCAGGATGGTCAGTTCGATAAATCTTGTAGCTAGGTATGTTGAACTGTCGTTTATTAGTTAGTCGAGTCTCAGTTATTAGGGCTATGTCAATGTCATTGTCCTGTAGAAAAAAAGTTAGTTCATTGATGTGGTTTCGAACACCATTCGCATTCCAGAGGAGAATGGAAAGGGGTTTTATTGAGGGCATTTAAGGAATTCTTGGCGGTGGAATAAGGTTAGATACGACATTTGTGAGTAAGGAGATAAGTGGTGTGATAAGAGATCTTAATTCGGAGAGGAATGATGAAAGGAGACTCGTAAGAGCATTGGAATTGTTAGGGGGAGGGATGTACATTTGGTGGTGACTGGACTTTTGGGTGTTATTAAGTTGCGGTGGCGGATTATGAGGTTGAGGTTGAGTTTGTGGCAGGGCCTGAGGTTGAGTGGGCTGTTCTATTTCTCCCAGTATTTGAGCATAGGAGACTTGATTGTTTGTAAA